GAGGAAGTATTCAACAGATCTGTTCATCAAATAAATAATTGTTGAATACATTCTGTTTCAAGTATTGACACAGGAGGAGTTGTAGCAATAGGAACCCTGAAGGAATTCATTCCAGTACCCTCCCAGAATTCAAAGATGCTGAGTCTCCTCCACAAAAATTCCATGTTATTTGCATATAATATATGGGCAATCTCCCTTGTACTTTAAATCATGCTTAATTACTTATAATACATAATACAACTAGTTTCTTTTTAAAATTGTATTATTAAATAGTTGCACAGGGCTGGGAATGTGGCTCAGTGGTACAGTGCTTGCCTAGCATTCATGAAGCTCTAGGTTTGATTCCTCAGCACCACATAAACAGAAAAAGCTGGAAGTGGTGCTATGGCTCAAATGGTAGTGTTAGCCTTGAGCAAAAGAAGCTCAGGGACAGTGCCCAGGCCCTGAGTCCAAGCATCAGGACTGGCAAAAAAAAAAAAAAGTTGCACAAAATGTTTGCAATTCTATGTCAGTTTTGGAATGAAGTACATCTTGATCAATGTTTATTTTTGACATAAATGATAAAATCACATAAATGATCAAACCAGCTCACTGATTTTCATTTTATAAAACCCTCTGGCAGCCAGGTGCCAGTGGCTCACACCTATAATCCAAGTTATTCAGGAGGCTGAGATCTGAGGATCATAGTTCAAAGCCAGACTGGGCAGTGAAGTCCATGAGACTCTTATCTCCAACTAACTACCAGAAAACCTGAAATGCCACTATACCTGAAGGAGTAGAGCATGCCTTGAGCTGAAGAGCGCAGGGACAGCAGCCAGGTCCAGACTTCAAGCCCCATGACTGACCAAAAAACCCACAAAACTCTCTGGTGGTGGGTGTCTCATGCCTGTAATCCTAGGTACTTGGGAGGGTGAGATCCTCGGATTGCAGTTTGAAGACAGCCCAGGCATGAAAGCCCTTGAGACTCTTACCTCCAATAAACTACAAAACAACAGTAACGACAACAACAAAAAGTCAGAAGTAGAGCTAGGACTCAAATGGTAGACTGTTAGCCTTGAGTAAAAAAGCTCAGGAATAGTGCTCAGGCCCTGAATTAAAGCCCCAGGATAGGCACAAAAAGCTTTCTGGAATTTTGACTGGGATTATATTTGATATGATAATAAATTTAAAAGAATTGAGATAACAAATCGATATATCAAAAAACAAACTTTACAACTTTGGTGGAGGGGGTATGTGGTAGGGGGGCTGGGGGAGGTGGGGGGGAGATGGGAAGGGATGGGAAGGGGAAACAAAGGAGGAGGCAACAATGCTTGATAAGAAATGTACTCATTATCTTGCCCATGTAATTGTAACCCCCTCTGTACGGTATTTTCATAATTTTTAAAAACAAAAGCACTAAACAAACAAACAAAAAGAATTTATATAGCTGGGCACGGTGGCTCATGCCTACAATCCTAGCTACTCAGGAGGCTGAGATCTGAGGATCAAGGTTCAAAGCCAGCCTGGGCAGGAAAGTCTGTGAGACTCTTATCTCCAATAAAACAAAAACAAAAACACTAGACAGCACTCGCCTTGAGCTGAAGAGCTGAGGGACAGTGCCTAAGCCCAGAGTTCAAGTTTCCTAATCCATGAACATGATTTAAGTCTTCATTTCACTGATGTTTTGTAGTTTTCTATATATGTCTCTTTTGATAAATGTATTCATAAATTTTTGTGACACTGCTAATTATTTTTAATTTTAAATCCAGTGCATCTTTATTGGTCTTAAAACATACAACCATGAAAAAACTCATTAGCTCAAGTAGTTTTTTTCTTTAGATGATTTTGGATTTTGTAAGCAAATGATCATGTGATCTATGATATAAGACAGTATCTCTTCTTTTCAAATCTATTTGCATTTCATACCATTACCTTGTCATGCTACAACTGGCCACTGAAATCATTACATAGTGGCCTTTTATCATCCATGTCATGAATTACATCTAGAAAGCCATGTCTTCCTCAAATAAGGATAAATTAATGATTTGTCATTATAAATTAGTCATGATAAAGTAATTATGATTATTCCTTTAATGTGCTAGTGTATTATATTTTCTATTATTTTTCAAGATCTGAAATTACCTTTTTTCCATAATGTCTTTGCCTTATTTTGGTATCAGAATAGTGTCAGCCCATTTATTGGAAGAGTTTGTGTGTAATAGATACTATTCTCATTAACATTAGGTAAAATTCACTATTTAATTGATTTGGATGTGAAGCTTTCTTGTGAAAAGATTTTTAACTACAAAATCAGTTAATTGATTCAGTTATTTTATATGTGTCTGTCGAGGCTATTTCTTCTTGAATAAGCATTAGTAATTTCTTCTAAGAAAAATGTTCATTCTGGGGCTGGGAAGGTGGCTCAGTGGTAGAGTGCTTGCCTTGCATGCATGAGTCCCTGGGTTTGATTCCTCAGCACCACATAAGCAAAGTAAAAAGCCGGAAGTGGCGCTGTGGCTCAAATGGTAGAGCGCTAGCCTTGAGCTGAAGAGCTGAGGGACAGTGCCCAAGCCCAGAGTTCAGGCCCCATGACCTGACCCAGAAACAACCACAACAACAACAAAAACGAAAACAAAAGAAAAATATTCATTCTATCTAAGCCATCAAATTTATTAGCATAAACTGGACCATAGGAATCTATTATACTATCTGTAGACTTGTAGTAGCCTCTCTCTTTGGATACTTATGTCTTTGTTGTTCTTATCAGTCTGCAAAAAAGTTTGTCAATGTTTTAATCTGTTCAAACATAAGGCCAAAATCCTGGCTCTACCACCTAATATCTACAGGATCTTGGATAAGCCACTCAGCCAATGATAACTCAGTTGTTTTCAGCCTCTCATTCACCTGCCAAATACATTATTTTCTTTCCCCAAGTAACTTTCCATCCTTCTCACTGTAAACCACACTAGTTGCAACCCTGTTTAATTTTCCTGTCTTCTGCTGAGGAAGGCCTTGGGTACCAAAATGGTAGACAGCCTTATCCTCAGTGAGCAGATGAAGAGACCCTGTGAGTATGTTACCTTTTCTTTCCATGATGCATTAAATTAATCTCCAAATCACACAATAGGAAGGAGGAAGTATTAACATCTAATATGCAAGTTCCATGATGATAAATACAAGCAGAGTTGTCTCAAACTATAGATCTTTGGTTCTAAGTGATTATCGCAACCAGGGACTTTTGTGTGGTGGCAGAATTGTTCTGCATTTACCACCACACATGCTAAAATTCACAGGATGCACAGCATCTCCAAGTCTGTTTTACTATATGATAGTTTTTAAGGAGCTGTTTCAACACTTAGAAATGGTATTCTATACCATGTGAGTAAAATTGAAGATAATCCAAAAGTTTAAATGTAAATAAAACCAGGTCTGTCTTTCCTTTCCTACAGCTATGCTCCAGGTCATCCCGAGGGAGCATGGAGACTATGCACAGGTCCTTGTTACCTTCTACCTCCCTTTTGGAGCATGTCTTTCCTCCCACCCAACTGCACAAGCAGGGGATCCTGACTCAGGGTGCCCTCTACACAAATACACCTGCTCTGCTACTGGCAACATCCAGGCCCACTGGCGCTGAATCCCTGCATGGGGGAGCACTCACGTTCGGAAACTATTGTCAGATCTATTTATCAAAATTCATTTTCTCAACATGAGATTCTGCTTTCCATTAATTGTCATAATGGAAAGGATCCAATAAACCTATATTCACCATGTGGAGGTGTTAATAGCCAGGAATGACTAGAGAGACAGAAATACCAGTTCTGAGTAGGCAGATAATGGGGTAGTTTGGGGGCAGGGAGGCATTCTGAACAACGTCCAACTATTTCCTTATAGGTTCTTTCATTTCTTCTCTTAAAAAAATCTTCAGAATTAGTGTGAAAGAAGGGGTGACACTGCCCAAAAAGAAATGTACTCCTTACCTTACTTATGAAACTGTAACCCCTTTATACATCACCTTCATAATAATAATAACTTTTTTTAAAAAACCTTCAAAATTGTAAAAGAGGCTGGGGGGTAGCAGGGAAGGTTCCTAGTTAGATAACTCTACTTTCAGCTCGATTTTCAGTATCCTCAAAAGTGGTCTAAAAACTAAAGTCTTTGGGGGGGGGTGTTTCAGTGTTAGTGTCTATGCTACATTGTAATTCTTTAGCATAGTCTGTGACTGTTACTTATTTAGTATAGTAATAATAAAATTGCAACACTGTTTATGAAAATTCATCATGAGTCAAGCACGCTCTGAGTGTCTTATGTGTGTACTACAATATTTATTTCTGTAACAATCCAATTTCACAGATGAGAGAATTGAGGTGTAAAAAGGCAAAGCAACTTGCTGTGCTAGACACAGAGAGGTCATGCCCGGGACTCTGGTCAAGATGAAACTTGCTGCCCAGCTGTTGCCACAGGCCATTGTTGCCAGCCTCAGAGCCCTTTACAAAAGATCAAGCCCTTCCCAGGCCAGCACAGTGCAGGTTTCTGAGCCCCAGGTTGGCTGAGGTTTTGTCAGGCTTACATCTCACTTCTAACTTTTTCTCTGGCCTGACCCGCTACTGCCTTACCTTCAGACATCTTTGTCTTTAGTAAGCATCCTGTACTCCAACCTCTGTCGTAGCATTGGCTGCCAGAAGACCCAGACTACAGCCCTTGCCAACATCACACAGTTGAAAGTCTGATGCTCCTAAGCAGAATGTATGATATACACTCTCCAAATATAAAACAAGTATAGAACTCTCCTATCTGTAGCAGTGGTTGAAGCTAATACCTCGGAATATCTGAAATTTTGTCCTTCATTTTTATAATAACTTTATCAAGCTATTCACATCCTCTAAAAACTACCTGTTCAATGCACACATAACAATTCAGAATATACTTTTAGCACAGTTACAATGTTATATAACTAGTATTATTATAGAAGTCCAGAATATTTCAACATCCCAATCACTTTTCATTTGTCTTCAGTTTTGATATCCCTAAGCAATAATTCATGCATTTAATCTATTCTTGCCAGTTATGAAATTTATTTCTATGATCAAAGATACAGAGTCTCCTAAAATATGTCCAAGTTCTTGTTTGCCATTCTCACTTCCAGGGAATTTATTCTTTTAAAAAAACTGACAAAAGAAGAGAGAAGGGGAAATAAACTAGTTTTCTGCATCATAGTTTATAAAACTAAACAACAACAACAAAAAGCAACCTAGAAAGTTTTTCCATTGTGGTTGTCTAGCTAATAAAATCACAGCACATTTACAAAATCCAGTAGTATGCATCCATTACAGACTAAAGAGCAACAAGGAACATGCTTAAGGTTTTAAGCATAAAAAGCAGAACATAAAATTGCAACTATGACTATGTAAAATATGAACATATGGATAAGGAGCGAAAGGAAATGAAGAGAAATAAAAACAGTTGCTGCAACAGGATGTTGGAGCTGTGAATTCTTTTCATTCTGCTGAGTTATTTTATTATTGACAAAATGCAGTCTTTACAATGAATCAGAATAGGAAGGAAATATGCACCTATTTTTACCAGTAAAACCTCTCATTTGTAAGGTGATATAGAAGAATTCTTGTTAAGGACAAGAACCTTGAGGCCACATGGACTTTGGCTTTTCATTCTGTAATATTTCTGAGCTGTGACACTGGGGTACAACTCTGTAAGTTTCATTTTCTACAACTGTTTAGTTTACAAGGGCTAATCACACCATCTACCTTAGAGAGCCAAGGTGAAGATGGAGATAATGGTGCCTAGCAACATTTAATAAATGTCAGGTCTTATTGTTGTATAGGTAATGGTGGCTAGAGGACAGTTGTGGTGCTGACAAGGGACAGAGGTTGTTCATGAGAATACTACAAACACTGCAATACACTGAAAATACAATTTTACATTGCACACACAGGCAGAGATTTCCAACACCTCTAGCAATTAGTTACACCGACTCTGGACCAGTTGCATCAAAGGAAGGTTGGAGTTGGGTCATTATCTCTTCTTAGCTGAAAATACAGAGAAACAAGTACCTTTTAACACACTCACTGATGGCCTTGTTGAAAACGCAAACACTGCTGATTTTGCATGACTCATTTTATTAATGAATACAAAGGCCTATTAACTCTTCTCATTATCATGTTTTTTTCTATCATCATTAGTAACATAGACACAGTGTGTCTTCTTAAGTAAAGCTAGTGACCGCTTTGTCTTCCCTCCTGTTATGGATGAGCCTCCAAGAGCCCATCCTTCCCTTGCTCATAGGATGCCAACTGAGCCCACTCTGGGTCTCTTAAGTTAGTTCCTTTAACTCTCAAATCAGTTTGTCCTCTTCTGCCATCATTAAATAAAGACTGTAGAATGCCCCTACCTTAGCAGAAATCAAAACTTCTTGTTAGATCCCACATCTCCAGGTACAGCCCATTTCTCCTTGGAGGGGAAAAAAAATAGAAAATGCTGAACATCATTGAAGTTTTTGAAACTATTGTATGTTATTACTCTTATTTTTTAAAATTTAAGATTATTGAGCTTGTAACTGGTATTCAAAAAGTCATTTATTTCTTTTTAAAATTATATTCTTATTATCTTTAATTATGCAAAGGAGTTACAATCCAACATGTCAGTTTATGAGTACCATGCTTCTTGATCAATTTTACCTCTTTCATTGTTCTCTCCATCCCTCTCAACCCCACCCATCCCATCAATTATCCATAGAATACTATTACTGCACTCACCGCACTTCATCTACCCCCCTTTCTCTTGATGCTCCTCAAGGACCAGCTTCCAGGTATTTGTTTTGTTAGATTGTGAGTTAGTTGTTCTAAGGATTTATACCATGTGAAGTATCCCAAGCATATTTAGCTACAATCAAGTGTAGTAAGCCATACTATAATTTAATAAGTATTAGCACATGAATATATTCATGAAACCATCACCATATATATTGCAGATTGTCTAGTTATCCTTTGCTGCTTTTATTGTCTTTTGTTTTTGTTTATGTTTGGGCAAAGATTTATTTTACTATAACAGGAGAAAGGAAAATGGAGAAGAGAAACATTTCCTGTTCTGTGTTATACAGAGAAGGCTGAGAATCTGAGGATAGCGATGTGAAGCCAGCCCAGGTAGAAAAGTCCCCATGAGGGCTGGGAAGGTGGCTCAGTGGTAGAGTGCTTGCCTTGCATGCCTGAGGCCCTGGGTTCGATTCCTCAGCACCACATAAGCAAAAAGAAAAAAG